AAGATAACTCTGAAATTGTTAAAAATCTAATTATTTTTGCATGCCTGATTAAGGATAATTATCCAAGCTCTTTTAATATATCTCAACTATTATATTGAAAATGTTATAATTTAGTCACATCAAATTATATAATCACAGTCTCAAATTTAAGAAGTTGCTCATTTTTATTTAAGTTATTATATATAATACCAATTAAAATTTGTATAAAAAAATAATAATATAATGAAATTTAGCCAATTAAAAATATTCATCAACATAATTATATAATTTATAATATGTCTCAAATTTACAATAATATATAAAAAGTGACAAACTTTGAATGACTATTACTATATAAAAAATTAAGAAAAATGAAATTGGCTTTTATAAAATAAAAGTTAATAACTTATTCTATTAATTTATAAAGAATTATTTTAAATATCTAGATTTGTAAAAATATAAAAAGATTTAAAGTTAATTAAAATTTTATTAATGTGACTAAATTATATATATGGTCCAATGCAAAAATATAAATACATAAAAATCATTGTCCAATTTTCCTAACTGATACAAAACTCGTTAATTAAGTTGTACAAGTATACAAATGAAACAAAAGATAAAGAAGCTTTTTAAATTATAAGTTTTTTAAAATTTTTTTTCACATGAAAGACTTGGATAAGGATCGAACTCTCTTAACTAACAATAAATGATAAATGATTTTTAATACCCATTAATATTTTTTTGATGTTTGATAACATCAGAACTAACATCAGACTCTCATACTATGCAAGCAGGTTACTACGGTCCTTGATATTGGAGAGGTCACAGTAGAACAGGTGATTGCTGAACAAAATAAAAAAATGAAGAATTTTCAGCTCGAAAAAAATTGGATCAGCCAAAAAATCAGCTTGATCACAGTATTCCCAAATTTATTCAAAGTTCTATTATATCCGTCAACACTTTTAATATCCCACTTTTAACACACATATTATGAAAAAAACTTATAGAAAATGATCACAAACTTTTAAAGTGATAATTGCTTCATATACTTCATATATTAGGATATTATTATGAATATGGTAAATACTAAAATATACTGCATGAGTCACTGACAAATGTCACCTTTTGTAATTATTATTTACAACATCGACTCAGAAATTTATAAGAAAAAAATAAAGTTCCAATCTGATCAGAAGTTTTTTTAGATGAGTCGTATTATTATTTGTATTATATCACAAATTATACTTGGATATCAAATCACAGAGTTATATACTCATCAGAACATGGCTCTTTAATTATTATTTTCAGAGCAATAATCATAATGCATAATGACAATACTAATATTCTTTATGGTAAAGTTATCTCTAATTCTCTTTTAATGTGGGATCTGTCAATTAAATTATCTTCATCAAGAGGAAGAAAACAGGCAAAACTAATGTTTGAGATGATATTTCTAAAGTTATCTGAAATTCTAATATTATAGCAGACAATATTAACTATTATGACAATTTTACGGTTAAAATTTTTAAAGATTTTTTTGATAAACTTTGTGCCAATATCAGGAAACACTATATATTAGTGGATATTCATATAAATAGTACTCATTATTACAAATGCTGAATCAAACAAGTATCAAAATCAAACTTAAAAAAGGATGTCTTGGTGACATGGTTATCTTTGACTGGTATCAACATTTCAGAAAACTCTATCAAAGTGGAATTATACAAGTTAGTAAAGAAAGATAAATAATATATTATTTACATATGTATAAATAGCTAGAAAATATGATCACAACTTATTTTATACTCTACTTTATCACTGTGAGCTTCAATTAATCGAAGAAATATGATCAGTTGTAAAAAGAAAAGTTGCCAGATCTGGTTCCTATTTTAGCCTTTTAGCTATTAGAGATAAATTGCTGTATATCTTTAAAAAAAAGGTTATGACTAAGGTTATTATTGGTTTTTGAAAAAGATCACTTGATAAAACCATAGAATATAATGAATCAAGTGATAATGTGTTACTGATCAAAAGTAATAATAACAATCTCAAAATAGAAAAAATTGATGATTACTAAAATTTTTTACAGAAATTAATATTTGAATAAAATGTATATAAAAATATTTCTAATTGCTATATACTAAATAAATTTATTTAAATATTTATATTAAATTGTCTAAAAAAATTTTTTATTATAAGTATATTAGTGTTTATATTTTTGCATCAATCTATATTATAGTATAAATATATATTACAAAGCAGCTCAAGAAATAAAAATAAATTAAAGAGTTACTGGATCTATTTCTTATAATTTTTAACTATTTTTACTTTTCTTGATTCATTAACTAAGTTTAAAATCTTTAATAAAAAGGATTATTACTATTTTAAAAATTTCTTATTCTATATATTATATAAATAAAATCTAAACAAGATTTTTTCAGAAACTGGAAAAATCAACAAAAATAAATTAGTAATTTATTTTTTATTATTTTCAAAGCAGAATACCAATCTATTATGATGTGAAAAACAAATATTCATCATTTTAAACTGTAGTTTGAATGGTAGCAGACTACTTTGTACTACAAGTTATTAGTGTTTTCTGTAAATATATCTTCTTTGTGACTAAAAATACAATTAGTTTTTCAAGAAATTGTCTTTTTGAACAATCAATCAGAGCTTTTTTATACTTAAAGAATTAGTTTAAAATAAAAAACTTAGAGTAATATATAAAAAAATTATTTTTTTACTATAATAAACAATAAATTATTTTTCTGCAATAGCCATGTATTTTTTTTGGATAGCTTATATATATTATTATTCATATAATATGTAAAATTATGTGTTACAAATACAAATATATATTAATATATATTATTACTTCAAATGATATACATGAACTCAAGTTTGGACTGATTCTTAATTAAAACCCTGACTTTTAAAATCAGAATAAACAGGATCAGACTTTTAATCTTTCTAAAAGTTTGATTTATTATCATTAACAATATCGATATTTGTAATTTATACCAAAAGCGAATACATGTATTAAAATATTATCGTTAGCATTAAATAAATTTTAACAATGAGTGTATCTATTCTATCAATGTATGCATCAAGGGGTTGTAAACTACATGTACATACATGTACCCAGTGTTGTCACGGGACAGCTTTGGACATGCCTTTGGACAATATTGATCAAAAAAATCAAATTTACTCAAAATTTTATTAAAATAACCTGTTTGGACACTAATTAAAAATGTCTAGAACTTCTCGTTGTATATAATCATATATTTTTTATTTAATAATACAAGAGTTTGGACACTTGGACATTTGGACGTTTGGACATTGAACAGTCGAAAAAGTGCTTGGAACATCCAAAATGTACAACACTGTCATGTACCGTATATATCTAACAGATCTACTTGACTAATTTAATTTGGGGGTTTTTATGTACAATACCACATGTACATGTACATGTATATAGCATATGTGAACTTTTTCTTGTACATATCGATATGCATATGCAAAAGAAATCTGAAATGGCACTGCCCATTCCATCAAAATCTGAAGTGTTAATTGTCCAATACGTAGTTGTATTTTTGGTGACTTCATTAAGAAGATCCACGAAACTAGCTATTTTTCTCTAATAACTAAACAAAATATTAATTACACCACGTACAGTCAGAGCTCGTTATAGTAACACATTTAAATGAACTTATCAGTTCTAAGAGTATGCTTCAAGAGAAGTATAACTTTAATATAATAAATATCTGTTATATAGTACGTAATACTTCTTAGACATGTATAGAGGGTTTTTATTTATTTAGTAACTTAGGCGCAGTGTGACTTTAAGGAGAGGTGACTATAGAGGGACGACTGTATGTTTTAATTTGTAGTTTTCTAATTCGATAATTTAACGTTAACATTTCAGTGATTTGCGTTAGTTTCTATAATCTACTTTTATACATTTAGAGTTGTAATAACGATAATGTGGGTGTTGTTGATCATCAGGTTCTACAAGATTATGATTCATCTTGATTGATTAGGTGGGTCTCTAATACGTAAATAAAATCACTTGATATTTGGCACTCCCCTAAAGATAATATTTTGTTAGCGTTGCATACTTTATTACTTTTTATTTATTAATATAACATTACATTACATGTAATATTTAATTAACTTCTATATACTTATTGTATTCGTTAATATTTTTGCTTGTTGATATAATTTATACATTCATCAATTAACAATTTGTTGAATACAATACATTAAGTGCGTAAAAAACCTCCATCTGTTTAAACTAGTTCTATAAAAATATGGCTCTTTTTTTAACATCATTGGAGTTCTTTATTATTATACACATTAAAAGACATTTCGTCTAAGTCATCGTTTATTTTATAAAATGAATACTGGAAAAATACTCAATGTACTCATTGTCAAGTTCACAATTATTGAAATTGCTATTGCCACATTACTCATTGTAGTCAATGTGTGCTCGTTGTCAGGAAAAAAATAAGGGTTACTATCTCTCTCAAATTTATAAAGCTGAACAGTCTAGCAAAAATAAATACATGTGTGAAAATAAATAAATTTAATAAACATACAATATCTTTGAATGAATTCCTTTTGAAAGATTCATTAATATTTTGCAAAAGGTAGTTTTGAAACATTTACAAAGCAATCTGACTGGATAAATCAATATTTAACCATCACAAGAGTAAAATATGTAAGGTTGTTGAAGTCATTACGTGATTCAAAGAAAATTGCATTAAAGTTTATAAATGAAATAAAATTGAAGTGCATGTAAGATGCATTATTTTCTAATATAATTAAGTTCTTTAATAATAAAAAATGAGTGAAGATCTATGTAAATTTATTATTTGAAAAGTTAAGTTATTTATTATTATGTGGTATATTAGGAAAATTCATTATATAGTGGTTAAATTCGAAGAAATATATTTTTTCAAATATTTATCACAATATCTGAATAGTCTTCTTCAAATATAATTAATAATATGAAATTATTAATTGTAAGTGGCATTGCCAAGTTTATAAACAATTTTTAACGGTTGATTTGGATTCACCAATTCAACTTCATACTTTCCAAACAACAACAACACCATCAACGCCTTAAGTGACGCTATAGCCACATGTTTGCCTGGACACAATCTTACGCCACCACCGAACGGCATAAACCTATTCTTTTCAACAGTCTTCAAAAAACGTTCTGGAATAAAATTTTCAGGATCTTGCCAGTGTGCTTTATTCATATGTATTCCAGAAATATATGCAAATACTAATGTGCCGGCTTTAAATTTATATCCCGCGATTTCGTCGTCATTTGACATTTCTTTGAAAACTAATCCGGCTACATTTGCCATTCTTTGTGATTCTTTAATTATTGCTTCAGCATAGTCGAGCTTTGCGAGCATATCGTAAGTGAATTGCGAAGGATCAT